AACTTTTGGATTCTTCAAATCTTCAGATTTTCCAACTTCGGAAGTTTGAGTTTTCGAAAATTGTCGAATTTCAAGATTCTGCGATTCTGGAAATCCGAAAAATTCAAAATTTCTGGATTTTTAAATTTTCAGATTCTAAGATTCTGAGACTCTGAAAATCCGAAATGTTGTGAAAATTAGGATTTTTCAAATTTCCCAATTTCTTAATTTTGGACAACTAGATTTTCAAAGTTTCAGTTATTCAGATTCTGAGATTCTGAAAATCTGAAAATTCTATTGGATTTTTAAAATTCTGAAGATTCTAAAGATTCCCAATTTTCAGATTTTTAGATACTGAAACATTTGGTCCAAGAAAAAAAAACCCAATTAAAAAAAATTGAAGGTTTGGTCTCAAAAAAATGCCCTCCGGTCGAGGACACATCACATAAAATTTTATTTCGGCGGACAGATGGAAAAAAATTCTCGCGTTTTGTTTACTTTTTTACATCCGATTTTGAAGTTTGATTATACTGGAAAACGAGAGAATTAGTGAAAAATGGAAACTGGTTTTTTAGATTATTCACTTATTTCCCTTTTTTTCACTTTTTGAGGGTTTAGTGTCATATTTTAATAGGTTCATGTGACCCATGAGACACGTCTATGTACTTAAAAATGGAAAGTTTGAACTTTTGAAATGGGGAAAAGAATTTTTGGGAAACTTTCACTAGATCCGGATCGATGGAAAGTTTCAAAAAATTGTTGTTTCAAAAATTTTGTGAAACACAACAAACAATTTTGCAGGTGATCTTATCTCTTTAAGAAAACATAACTCGCTTAAAATTCACAATTTCAACTCAAATTACATATAAAAATGTAGAACTTAAAAAGATCTACAAAATGTATTAAATTTGACTATTTTTGAATTCCTACTTTTTAGCCAGAAATCCAAAAGTAGCAAAGGAAAATTCGATGGCGAGGTACATGCTTTGTAAGACGCATAACTCGCTTCAAATTTGGAATTTCAACTTACAGTATATATCAAAATGTAGGACTTTAAACAATCTACAAAATGGTATTATTTTGGCTAATTTTGAATACGAAGTTTTGAGACAGAGACCGTAAACACCCGGCGCTACCAGGGCACCTTCGGCAGCCAGGAACCTGCCTTTTAAACCGCATAACTCGCTTAAAACTTAAAATTCTGGCTCAAATATAAAAAGTAAAATGTAAACTCCAAAAGATCTAGAAAAAAAAATTAAATTTGACTGTATTTGAGTCCCGAGTTTTCAGCTAGAGACCTTAAAGGAGCCGGTGCTGTCAACTCCGGCAGCTAGGTAGTTTTACAACATCTGCTCTTAAATTCAGCATTTGAATGTAGTCAAATTTTATATCATTTTGTAGATCTTGATAAGTTATACATTATGGTTCTTGATTTGAGCTAAAACTCTAGATTTAAAACGAGTTATGCACCTTAAAAGACAGGCACACATTGGGAAGTATTAGTGAAGAAAGGAAGAGAGGACGACAAATTGCATAATAAAATGAAAAGAATAATCAAAAAAGTACACTTCTAGTTATTCAAAAAATTTGGAACAGTAATTTTTCATATTATCTTATCCTAAATAAGATCATTCAAAACTATTTTGAAGACGTACATTTTTTGAAACAGCAACATCTCAACCGTCAATAAAAGTCGTTCACAAAAATTTCTTTGAAACACAAAAAAATTTCCGATGATCCTGCTGATAGATAAATATAGA